CCAAAATGTTGCCCCCAAAATGTTTCCTCGAAAAGATCTTAAGACTCTAGGATTTCTACTAAACTGTCCTAATATTCCTTTAGTGACCGTACGTCCCTTTTGAATTGACCCTTACAAATTCCAACGATGGTTCTACCTATTTCTCAATAGTAGGATAGCGCTGTCTAAAGGAAACAAGAATAGAAACGATCTTTTTTCGAGTAAGTAGATGCTAGTAGGTACTTGCTCAAATCAAAAACTTTTCACACTTACACTTTTCAAACAATTTTCAAAACAAACTTCGTCACACCCTTGAGGACTGATATAAGGGTTATCACGAAGTAAAACATTTTCAAAACAAGCACACAAACACAAGCAATTAAAAAATGAGCAAGTACCTAAGAGCCCATGGAAAACCATGGATAGAAAGGGTGCTAACACCTTCCCTTTCTATAATCTACCCCCCATACTCAAAATCTCGAAAAAGGATTTTGTCTGTACTTTTTTCCTTTTCGGTTGGATAAAATAAAAGTCGGTGGCGAGTCTTGCTTACCGCGACATTTTGCAAACACAAAACGCAAAACGTAAACCATTATTAAATAGTCGGTTCTGCCATCGTATCACAGTGGGTATACAAAGTGAAAACAAATTCGAAAGGGGAAGTAACTCGACACAAAGCAAAGCTTGTGGCGAAAGGATTTCTACAGATAGAAGGAATATACTTTGATGAAGTTTTTGCACCTATTCCTAGGATCGAAACAATCAGATTGGTTGTTGGTCTAGCAGAAATAAACAGATGACACATATGTCAGATGGACGTAAAGTGTGCATTCCTGAATGGACCCTTAGATGAAGAAGTTTATGTTGAACAACGAGTTGGGTTTGTGAAACATGACGAAGAGAGAAAGGTGTACAGGCTGCATAAAGCCCTGTATGGATTGAAACAAGCACCAAGAGCTTGTAATAAGAAAATTGATAGTTTCCTAAGGCAGAAGGAATTTGTGAAGTGCACAACTGCACATGGTGTATATGTAAGAAGAAGAAATAGTGAATTTCTTATACTATGTCTCTATGTAGATGATTTGTTGATAATAGGTAGCTGAAAAAGTGAGATCGGAGACTTCAAAGGTGATCTCAACAAGGAATTTGAAATGTCTGATCTGCGTGAGATTTCATATTTATTTGGCATCGAATTCTACAAGAGCAGTAGAGGTTTGATGATGCATCAAAGAAGACATGCAGGAGAAATTCTCAAGAGGTTTGAGATGGAAGAATGCAACTGAACTTCGACACCTGCAGAACCAAGACTGCAACTGTCGAAAGATACAGATGAAGATGATGTCGACCTAACCTAATACAGAAGACTTATTGGATCATTGAGATATCTTTGTCATACGAGGCCTAACTTAGCATATAGTGTAGGTATAGTAAGTAGATTCATGCAGAAGCCAAAGGTATCACATATAACAGCAATGAAGAGGATACAAAGATATCTCAAAGGAACTCTTGACTATGGAATTTTGCTTCCTGCAGCTGATAAAGGAAAAGAATGCAAGTTAGTGGAATACACTGATTCGAGTTGGTGTAGTGATGCTGAAGATCGAAAATCAACAGCAGGATATGTGTTTATGTTAGGTGGTGCACCAGTTGCTTGGAGTTCAAGAAAGGAACCAGTAGTGGCATTATCATCATGCGAAGCAGAATATATAGTTGCTTCTCTTTATGCGTGTCAAGCAACTTGAATGGTGAACTTGGTTGAAGAGATAACAGAGGAAGATCATGGAGTAATTACCATGAAGATCGACAACATGTCAGCTATCAATCTGGCAAATAGCACATGGTCGAAGCAAGAACATAGAAATGAGGTTCCATTATCTTCGAGAACAGGTAGCAAATGGGAAGATGAATATGGAACACTTCATAACTGAGAATCAGATTGCAGACATCATGACGAAGGGAGTGCAGGTCGAAATATTAAGAAGACTAAGATCCATGATGAATATAAATAGTTTAGATACAATGAATTAGGTGGTTTATTAAATTGTAATTCGTAGTGTCAAAACTATGGTGTGCCGAAGAGCACACATATTAGATTTGTTTTAGATTTAAATAGATTTGATTTAGATCTAAAATAGATAGATTTGATTTAGTACCAAAATAGGTATTTTGGGCTTTTATAGTTTTGGACTTTGAGCTAACCAAAATCTATAAATAGGGAGTAACCCCTAAATTTGTAATTAAGTCAATTAAGTTGTATTCACAGAATTTGCAGTTGCAAGTGAATAACAAAGTTTTTCATAGTTTGTGGGCAGAGAGAAACTCTGCAGAAAATAATTGTCTTCTTTCTTTTCTTTTCTTTCTCATAATTCATTGTCATTGTGTAGAAATTCATCACAAATATTTGGTGGGTTTCAAACAATACGTATATTTATTTTGGCACACATTGGCATGGATAGTACCCTTAGCATTAATCATAGGAGACACTAGATTAGCGTTGGCTTTAAGCTACTATTAGCTTCGAGCTTTTGAGAGATTGTCCTAACATCGACGCTAGGCTGACGCTAAAGTCAATTAGTGTCGGTTTTTGCACTGTTAGAGAGGGTTCCTGGCCGACGCTAATGTGTTGGTTTAAAAATAAAATATATAATTCATAAATCATAAGTATAAATTTTGAATAAGTAATTTGTACTTAAAAGGATTCGAACTTGAGACCTTGGCAGAAGCACACTCTCAAGACCCCAAGCGTTTCGCCACTAGATCACACACATAATAAAAACAACTATAATAATAATAATAGTTAATTATTATTATTATTATTATTATTATTATTATTATTATTATTATTATTATTGTTATTATTATTGTTATTATTATTATTGTTATTATTGTTATTATTATTATTATTATTGTTATTGTTATTATTGTTATTATTATTATTGTTGTTATTATTATTGTTGTTATTGTTATTATTATTATTATTGTTATTATTATTGTTATTATTATTGTTGTTATTATTATTATTATTATTGTTGTTATTATTGTTGTTATTGTTATTATTATTATTATTATTATTATTGTTGTTATTATTGTTGTTATTGTTATTATTGTTATTATTATTATTATTGTTATTATTATTATTATTATTATTGTTGTTATTATTGTTGTTATTTTGTTGTTATTTTATTATTATTATTATTGTTATTGTTGTTATATTATTATTATTATTATTATTATTATTATTATTATTATTATTGTTGTTATTTTATTATTATTATTATTATTATTATTATTATTATTATTATTATTATTATTATTATTATTATTATTATTATTATTATTATTATTATTATTATTATTATTATTATTATTATTATTATTATTATTATTATTATTATTATTATTATTATTATTATTATTATTATTATTATTATTATTATTATTATTATTATTATTATTATTATTATTATTATTATTATTATTATTATTATTATTATTATTATTATTATTATTATTATTATTATTATTATTATTATTATTATTATTATTATTATTATTATTATTATTATTATTATTATTATTATTATTATTATTATTATTATTATTATTATTATTATTATTATTATTATTATTATTATTATTATTATTATTATTATTATTATTATTATTATTATTATTATTATTATTATTATTATTATTATTATTATTATTATTATTATTATTATTATTATTATTATTATTATTATTATTATTATTATTATTATTATTATTATTATTATTATTATTATAAGTTCAAAGTAATTTCAATATTTTCTACTTTTCCTCATATCGTAAATTTATTAACAATAAAGTTTAAATAGTTTTGACTAAAAAATATATAATAGGACAAATGTAATTTCTTAAAAAAAGTTGTTAATATATATATATATATATATATATATATATATATATATATATATATATATATATATATATATATATATATATATATATATATATATATATATATATATATATATATATATATATATATATATATAAATTTATTAACAATAAATTTTAAATAGTTTTGACTAAAAAATATATAATAGGACAAATGTAATTTCTTAAAAAAAGTTGTTAATATATATATATATATATATATATATATATATATATTAACAATTTGTTTAAATTAGTAGATAAAAATCTAAATTAAGAGGAAAAATAAACAATTAATAGGCAATTGAAATATATTATATCAAAAGTAATTTCAATATATTTGAGTAAAAGTATACAATTGTAAAATTTATTTTGAATAAAAGTATATAATAGGAAAAATATATTTTTTCTATTATGCTTTTTTACTGGAATTTTTTAACCAAAATATGAAGTGTTTATAAATGACGAACGAAACATATGAAAAAAAGAAAGCAAAAAAAATATAAAAAAATTTAAAACATATATCTTTTAAAATGATAAAATTCACTTCAAACTTGTCTCCATTATGTTATTAGTTGCAGCTGGTAAGTTTATATCTTTTATGCTATTTATGATTCGACAATTTAAATAAATTATATATAATTGTATTATATCTTTCTATGTATAATGATTTGAAATTCAATTAATATTATATTATTACTCCCAACCTTCTAAGTTCCATATTTTTTAAAATAAAATAAATAAAATAATATTTTAAAATATCATAATATAAAAATGGAATATATAATTCATAAATTATAAATATAATTATAACAAGAATAAAATATGAATAATATTAACATTAATAGTAATAAAATTAATTAAAAATATTAATTTTAATATATTTAAGTAAAGTTATAATTTTACCTATTATAATTTCAATAACTAGAAAATTTTACCGATTGTAATTTCAATAATAGGAAAAATATAATTTTACCTATTATCCGTTTTCAAGGGAATTTTTTAACCAAAATATGAAGTGTCTATAAATAACACACTAAACATATGAAAAGAACAAAGCAAAAACAAAAGCAAAAAAATTTAGAAAAAATATATCTTTTAAAATGGTGAAATTCATTTCAAACTTGTCTCCATTTTTTGTTATTCTGTTATTAATTACAGCTGGTAAGTTTATATCTAGTTAAAGTATAAAATTTGGTTATCATTTGAATATGCAATACTTCTTACTAACCCTAATGTGTTTCTGACACAAGTTTGGAACATAGAATTACTACAAGCGGACGATATAAAAGCATGTATGACACCTCTGGGAGCATGTGGTCCTGGGGATTGTGATGCTAGGTGCAAAAAAATACACTTTGAAGGAGAAGGGTCCTGCGATTTGGGCTTATGTACCTGTTATCATTTGTGCGATTGAAGGGTTTGATGGAAGAGAAGATTTAGGGACATAATTTTATGTTATATATGGTTGATCATATATTGTTTATCTACTACATGAAACATATAATAATTAATAAATAAATGTCTCTGTTACCTCTATTTTGTTTTTACAAATATTTGCATTTACACTACAAGAAAATTGATCTGTAATGACGGACTAAATATGTCACTATATGTTATTTTGCACCGACAGACTAAAATCTTTAGCTACATTTATAGTTGTCTATCATTATTTCTCTCAAAAAAGTTTTTCTTTAGCTACAGTATTTGGCCGTAGGTAAAAGTTGTTTCCTTTGCAAATTTCCACATATTTTTGGTCAATTATAAATAATTTTTTAATTAATATTTAAATTAATTAATAGTAATCATATCACCAATTGTTTAAGACAATATTGACAAATCATAAAGTAAGATTTAAATACATTTTGTCATAGTATATTTATGTAATTATTTATTAGGATAAAGAAAGCTATGTTTGAGGTAATTTTATAGATGAATATCAGCAATATGGAAACAAATATTTTATTACGAGGGAATTATGGAGAAGAATGTACAATAAGGGCAGTGGTCTTTGAGCATGAATTCATAACATATATACTATAGCTTTGACAATTCTCAAGTAAGGTTCTGCAAAAAACAACTATCAACACCATTAAACAAAAAAATGTGAGATATGTGTGGATATTTTAATTAAGTTTCATTTTACTAACGAGTAATTTTCTCTGTTTTTCTTTCTTCATTTTCTATTTTAATGAAACATTTGCTTCTAATTTCTTTTCGTTCCTTGCCTTCTGAGGTATGGAAGCCGCTAACTGAGTTAAGTCATTTTTTTAAAGACTTGTGTTGTAATACATTGAAGCTGGAAGACCTTGTTAGGTTGGAACAAAACATTATCACCATCATATGCAAGCTTGAAGGAATTTTTCCTCCAGGTTTTTTTTACTCAATGAAACATCTCCCGATTCACCTACCTAATGAAGCAATCTTTGGTGGTCCTGTACAATATCGTTGGATGTATCCATTTGAAAGGTAAATGATGTTCAATTTTTGTAGATTAATTTAATGAAATAGCATCTTTTAATATTTTCACGTGTAGATTGATGGGAGACTTCAAGCGTTCGGTGAAAAATAAAGTCATGGTTGAAGGTTCAATATGCACTGCCTACTTTCACTGTGAAACTACTCATTTTTTCTCTCACTTTTTCAAGACCTTTAATTTGTGGTCAAGTACAAGTTTAAGGAATGATCCTTGACCAGATCATGAGAGTTCCCAACAAACACTTTCAATTTTTAGCAAATGTGGTTGTCCTAGTGGAAAATCTCGTGAATATTGAATGATTGATAAGGAATAGAAGTATTCTCATCCGATCTTATACACGAGCAATTTCCTTCATGGCTAAAGGACTATGTTAGTATATTTCCCACCATTTATATTATGTGGTTGACAATAAACTATCTCTAAGGTTAGACGTATTTTTTAAGTGAATGATGAGAGGAATGGAACAACTAGTCCATACTTGAAGGCATTAGCTCTCGGTCCTAATCTGAAGGCAACATCATGGAACATATACTTTGTTAATGGGTACGAGTTTCACACTCTAGAACGGGTTCATGGTAAAAAAGACTATTAATTATGGGGTATATGTTAAAGGTCTTACAAATGGAGGATAAGACAATTTTTATGGCATCATCCAACGTATCTTTCAATTGAAATGCCATGGCTTTAGCAACAAGATTGCCCTATTTTATTGTGTTTGGTTTGATCCAACAAATAATAGTGGCACAAAATTTATTACTAAGTACAATATTATTGACATTAAGATGAATAAGCGATATCGTCAGTATGACCCCTTCATTCTTGCACAAGAAGCAAAACAAGTGTATTATGTCACTTATCCAAAAATGTGTAGAAATATGTGTGGATGATGTGAAACTATCACGACAAAACCAAGGGCTTATGTCGAGATAGACAACACCGAGATAAAATTCTTTATTAATTCGATGAAATGTTACCAGTTGTGTCTATTACAGAAGTTGAACAAATACGTGGTTTAGCTGATGGGGTGTTAATTGATGACGAGGTCGAGATGACAATGAAAACTGACCCAATGACTCAAGATTGAGAGAAGATTTTATCTTGTATTTCTATATTTTTATTTTGGTTAGTAGATATTTGAAAGGACAATTTAAGAGAGATGACATATTTGTGTTTCCTGGTCATCATGGTTATGTATGTTGTCGTTGTCTAGCCACTAGCTGGATAGTTCATAATCTTTTCATGTTTTAGTTTCTATGTATTAATTTTGATTAATTGTAGGACTTGTTTCTGCAATTCTATGTATTAAATTTTGTTTAATTGTAGGACTTGTTTAATTGTGGTTCCTATTGTTGTTTGAACTTATTAGAATTGTGAAAATATGGTGATATACTAATGATGTGATATACTAAGTGTAGACTAATGATGTGATATGTTAAAGTTTTATATATAAACTTTTATCGTTGACAACTTTATTGTTATTTTCTATTTAAATGACTGGATAAAACGGAAAGAGAAAAGCACTATCGAGCACAAATAAGTAAGATGGTTTAACCTTTTCACTATTTGGTTGTTTTGCAATTTAATATTTTTTGATGCATTTTTGCTAATGTTATTGATAATGTCAATTGTGTAAAAAAGTGTTATTGACAGGTTATGCCGTCAACGAAAAATTCCACCTAGGACTCTTGCTATAAAGAATTATCGCATGGTCCATAGGGACCTGGTCCAAAGAATCCACCACCACCACCCACTCAAAGAAACCCTCCACCGCCGATTCAGAAAACTAAAACATCACTGCCTACTTAGCCTCCATCATTGGTTCAGACAAATCCAACACCACCACCTACTCATCCTCCACCGCCGATTTAGAAAAATCCAACACCTCCACCTTGGCAACCTCCATCAGCGACTCAGACAAACTCAACACCACCACTAATTCAGACAAACCCAACACCATCACCTACTGATCAGCCTCAACCGTCAATCCAGACTTCTGAGGAATTCAAATTCATTCCTACCCCGGGATATACTCATCATGTTTTGCAAAGTCCTCCCCATCACACCACAGATGATGACATTTAGGAAGGAGGGGGACCAAACACTTTCTAATGAGAAACAACTAGAACAAGATGATGGGCAAATACCAAAGATCTATATTGTGGAAGACACTAATGCGTAAGAAAATTTATAGTTTAAGCACATTTTAAATAAATTACCTTTCTTTTCATTACACGATTCAAAAAATTTTGCTAGCTTGTTTGTAGTAGTACCTGGGAGCATGCGAATGCAGACAATAGGAAAACCTAACTTTTGAGTGAGAAAGTACTTCATATTGTTGACATCATTGAGAGAAAACCTGATCAATTGCTTCTTTTTTTATATTTTATTTTTCTTTGTTTTCAAGTATTAATACAAATATCGTGTAGTGTCAAGTCTTACAAGACCACAAACCTCAGCTCTTTTACTGCCCTAACATTCTACTGTTAATCAATTATATTTGCAAAGTTTGAAGGAAATACTCTCCAATCATGTTTTCATCTTCACAGTTTCATTCTTAAATACAATACTGTTATCATTGTTCAAAATTCTAAACTAGTAACTATAAGCTTCTACATATAAGATTAATAAATGAGTAAATGTATATCACGGAACTATACAATTTACATTATTTTCTTCCCACAATTGTATTAGAAAGTTTGTATTAACAAGTAACTGATCCGATGCAATGTTAGCAACCTTCAGTGTCGTAGTTACTAGCTAAGTCAATTTACTTGCGGTGCGATAGACTTGTTGTGTGCAGTAGTTTAATATTTAGTTGTTAAAGAAACTGTTGTAATGTTTTTCAGTTTCAGTTTTGAATAGAGGGTAAAGTGACTGACGTACCGTGTGCAATTACTAGTATATATAACTTAACTAGTATTATTTCTGAATTTGTAATTAATTAACGAAAAATTAGTTTTGTAGGTTAAGTCCAGGAAAACTTGTTGCCTCAATGTGCAGAAAAGTCATAGTAAAGTTTTACTAGGGAACTTTTTATAATTATAGTAAGCTTAAACGTGATGGAAGAGAAAACGAGAGAAGGGACGAGAGAAGGGAATGGTTCAACACGTTTGAAGTAAGATATGTAATTTCTTTTTTAGTAGTTTGATTATAATGTATATCGTTGAGTTTAATTTATTATTTGTATATTTTGTCAGTCGCTTGTATGCTGGAATTGTTGTGATGTGTTAAAATGGAAGACTTGTTACATAAAAAATATGGTAAACGATTGACTGATATATTGCAAAAGGCTAGAGAGAAGGTGCACAGGCCGCCTTGGATGGGTATAGATACATGGGTGTTTCTTTTTGACAAGTGGCACTCAAAAGAGTTCAAAGATGTATCCCAACAAAATAAGATTAATCGATCATCAAGCTGAGGTGGACCAGCCCATACCTTTGGTCTTATAGCTCACCATGATGTTGCACTTGAATTGGTATGTATTATATTTGTAATTAAAATGCGTTAATATAATTATATTCAATGTATATTGCGACCATATATATTATCTTCATTGCCATCCATAAAAAGAAGAATGGGGAGTGGGTTGAGAGGCGTGCAGCGATAACACATGTAAGTTCCTACACGGAAGTGTTGTACTATGCTGAACACAAACTATAACATGTTATTCTTTCAGACAAAGTGTTGCCAGCCATACCAAACATCATGCTGGTAGCTTTGAAATAGTATCCCTTTCTTTCTGCAACACTTTCATTTATCCTGTAAGCTTTTCATTCACAACTAAAAAAAACTATAATGTGTTGAGTGTTTGACCCATACTGAATTGTCATTGGATTTCTTTGTAATTTTTGTAAGCTACAGGCCTTCATAATCAAAGTTAAGATTGAATATTTTCAATTTCTTATACTAATTCATCGGTGGCCAAAATTAAGTGTTGG